TTTAAAAAATGTGATCTCTCGCAGAGATCTGCGTTTTGCTCACTTGTGGGAAAACACCATGAAACACACACACATATATACGTACATTCATCAAAATATAAACTCTTTATGTTCATACACAAACACAAATGTTGATGTCTTTGTCCATTGTAAATTTTGATGTTTAATACGTATACTTGTTTGTATACATATATCGGTCTTGATTGTTTTCTTTACATTTCTTTATAGTGGATTCAATCTTTGAGTCCGCCATATTCTTGTAGTGGACCTTTTAATATTCTATCAGAAGTTACACACGTGCTCCTAATTTAACAATGCGTAAACCCATAGTCTGCTACAATATATTTTTCAAATTTGCAAAAAAATTTCCCAAACAATTCACCGTGATCAAATTATTTTTGGCAATTCTTTTTGAGCCAATTTTATATTTGAAGAATTTAACAAATAAATGTATCACATCAAATTTTGTTTTTGATTAACAATCTGGTTTACTTAAAAACACTTATCTTTAAATAAAAGTATAAGTCAGTGTAAAAGACTAACCGAGACTATTTTAATTTATACTTTATAATTTATATACTTTATAATTTTATACTTATTTATATATTTTATACTTATTTATATACTTTATAATTTTATACTTTATAATTTATATAAAAACAATCTAGATAAATAAGTAACTTATTTATCTTGATTTTTTTATTAATCATTTAATTTACATTATATTTTATATAAATTTTTATTTTTATATTCTCCCCTCAAGAGAAAGAGCAAAAAACGAACTTATATATTATTTTTATTTAAATTTAATTATTTTTATTACTTACTTACTAATAAAAAACCTGGACCTTGTGGGCGCGCTGAAAAATACATTATTCAGTCAGTATGTGCCATGCGTGATACACACTTCTTAGGCGATCATATATCTTTCAATACATGACTGACGAGGCAGATTTTTTTTCCCGCGGTAGGTTGCCATTTCTTTCTGCGGTAGACCAGTTGCCATCCAAGGTTATAGAACCCGATCTGTCCTGCTATTTTACCAACAGCTTGTGGGAAGAGAAGATGGTTCATTCCTTTCCCAAAAGGGTATAATTAGCATGTAAGTTAAGTGAATGTATCGGACTCGACTGGAATTACGAACTCGGCTCTCCGTCTTCAATCCGCGCCGTTTAGCCATTTACTCCACCGTGCCTCAAACATATTTTAATTTTATATTTTAAAATAATTATTTACTAATAAAAAAATAATAGCACTAATACTTACAGATAATTCAGAACATTATTTTAGTAAGCACGCGACGAGTATTCTTTTTGTGGCGATAGTGGAACAACAAAAAATATCCTAATGTACATTGTTTACTTTACATAACTTTCCTGAAAGAATTAGGTTTGTTTTTGTCAGACTAGGACCTAGGTGCATACAGAAAAAAAATCCTTCTTAAAGTTTTCAGAACTGCTCTTTCTTCCAACCTCGAAAGGAATATTAGTGGTATTTGATGTTGTTTATTTAAATAAAAATGATTTAATATTAAAAACATAAAATAATTAAACAAAGAAATAATGAATTTTTTTATCCCCACACGAACTGTAAATTAATGGACCGTAAATTAAATGAAGGGGAAAATATTTGCGACATCACCGGTAATCTGTTTTCTTATTGGTTAAAATATTCTAGTAATGGCGGTGATTTGAAAACGTGAACAACGGTTACTGTCATAGGTGAGTAAATTCATCTTTTAATTAAATATTATATTTATTTCGCTTTTAATTAGATTTTCAAAAGTTACAACTAGATACAGTTTTCTTTGTGCAACTAATTTTATATGTTGCCACCTATAAATTCTTATTTTAAAAAATTATTTTCACAATAAGAGTAAGATATTTTATCCCTAAACAAGGCTCGTAACAATGACTATTTGAAAACTAAAGTAGGACTATCAAAATAAAGTAGATCTACTTTGTTAAAATTTGAAAATTGTAGGTAAAATATGGTGAGTTACTTTCTTACATTTTAATTTGGCAATAAGATCATATTTGAATTACTCTCTGATTTGAAAATTGAACACTTCAGCGGAAGAAACAAAACTTCAACTCACGCGTTATTGTTGTTATTCGATGGCACGTTTTTTTTTCAGTTTGAAGGAATCAAGAGTAAATAAGCAACATACATTTTATATTGTTAATGTTTAAAAGAAAAATATACTTTTGCTAGTTTATATCGCTTTAAATCCAATTTCAAAGCCATCTCCCATCAATTTAAGTGTCACTGTAAGTGTACACTACCATTTTTTTTATTTTACCGCTTCGATATTCTTTATTCTCTTTTTGTGTAATTATAGCTGTCTGATTTAATAGTATTTTACTGGATTCTCTAAATAAACAAAAAGTAAGGATAATGCTTCCCTTTTTAGACTAAAACAAGTAGTGACTAAAAGCATTTTTTTTCTCAAAATTAAAGGTTGTCTTCAGACACAGCTGTTTGAGGTTTCCTTTTGCCCACTGAACTTAAAGTCAATTCAGGTTTGCTATGGTAAAAATGTTCTATCCCAAGTAAAAATCATCACAAAAATGGCAAAAGTCATTTTGTCACAGCTTATTTTCTCGGAAAAAATGGATTTTCATACTTTTATAGGGGTAAAATATTGAAATATGACTGTTTTATCATCATCTCTAAACAAATATCAAGGAAACTTTTGATCTGAACCCCATGAAACTAGGTATTTTTTTCTGAAAGCAAAGGATATATTCTTTCATTTAAAAAGTAAAATTGGCTGGTGTAAATGACTCAATTTTTTTTCAGGGGATAAAATAGGAAAAAATAGTGAAAATTTTGCATTTTTTCTAGTTCTAAACAAAAATTTTCCCCCATTAATGGGAAATTAACCTTTTTTTTTCTTTTGAAAATCAGAAAGCTTAAATCATAATCAAACCATTTCAGGCATAAAATTGAGAGGTTTGAAGGAAATCAACATTCCTAGGGGGTCAAAGTGCGACAAAATCCATTGGTAACTTTCAATTATATGACTGCCAGGGGTTAAAAAAATTGACACCTGACCACGGAAATCTTTAGTAAAAGGTGAAAGATTTATCTGCAATTTCTGACCACCAGAAACCAAAAGTAAAATTAAGCTAAATTGACTTTGACATGTCTGGGTCAAAGGTCAGCCAGCAATAAACGTTTAGAACAAGTTGTAATAAAACCCAGCATTCCCAGATAAGAGCAAAGAGTGAAAAAAAAAGGGTCAACATTGGTAGGGTTTGATATAAGTTTTTTTTTCCAAACCTATGTTTGAACAATGGCTTGATGTGTTTTGTTTTGTTTTTAACACCCCGTGACGTGGGTGATGACAACAACACTTAGCAGACGGCATTGTTTTTTTCACCGCATGACTTTTGTATTTCCTATCACTGGGCCATTTAGCCATTCCTCTTATTCAATGATGGAGAAAGAGATGAAGTTTGAATGATATTATTTTGATGTGAAAATATTTTTCATATAAAAAAAAAGGTGATTGTTCACAGAAAATTGGTAATGCTAACTGCCGAGTAACATTTTCCACAGCCAAATCAAAGATTAATTAGCAGTGAATAATTCGATGTGCAAACAATAGCCATCTGGATCCTATAACGTCGCCTGAAAAGGGTCCAGAAGTTTACTGATTGATCGAAAACTTGTTGCGCATAATTGTGTTTTTCATGGTTAGTTTCCATTATTTCATCTTGATGTTGTCATTTTCGTATAGCCAAGTCATCAAGGATTAAGGAAAACAGTTTGGCACAGGTTTGCTTAAAGAACTTTACATTCTATGAGGTGTTTAAAATGTTATGACGAATGGGATTTTTCGCCGAATATTTCATTTACGCGCCATGTTGGATTTTCCTATATAACAAAAATAAGTGTTTTAAACAGCTGTGCAGATGGAACCCGTTAAAATTTTCACCTTTACTTTGATTGTAAGTAAATTGTGTTAGTCATATACGAATATTTAAAAACAAATTGAAAGGGAAAAATTAAATCAACTGCTTTTAAATTCAAATGTTGAATTTGAAAAAAATATTTTTGTATGTTTACTTTTAGAGTTTGTTTTTAGACATCAAATTTGCAAGCTTTGTAATTTCAATTTATTTACTTTGGAGTTCTGATAATTTTATTGGCAGGTGATATTTGTAGTCGGGGAAATATTTTTTCAAGACAAGAATTTGTATCATTTGTTAGATTGTTCTACTCAGCCCTTCCAAAAAGCCTCAAATTTAAATTTCAGTATTAAAATTTAATCTCAGAGGGCAGGTATTGTTGATGATGGGGCTGATATAAATTGTGAAGATTTTCAGTCTGCTACTGTTGGGTTATTTTGGCCATGTGAAAAAGAGCAGAGTTCTGATGGAACATATAAGACTACTTCCCCAATCTAAGTGCTGATCACTCTATTCAGTGCTTTGATATAGGCAGTGACATAACGGTGCCTTGTTCATGGCCTCCATGACCATAACAGAACTTGGTTATCACAGAGATTATCAGTATTAGGGCTACTTGTTATTATTCTTCTCTTCTGGTCCTTATCAAAATTTTTCTCATCAGAGAAAAGCCAGAGTGTGATAGACTATTTGAGGTGTTTGAACTTGTTCAGCAAGCACTTTAAATTGGATCACATTGTTCTTTCAGGTATTGTCAGACATGAAACTTCCTCTCTCCTTATTGCATAAAACTTGTAATTGATGTACTTGTGCAGCACACAATAGTAGACTCTGTCATAGATGACATGTCTCTGCTAGAAGCCTTCAGCTCATTCCTGACTTTGAATACAGAGGAGCTAGCCAATTATCTTCATGTCACTGTAGTTGGTAGTTAGAGCCACAAGAATGGCATGCCTTTTCATTTCCAGTGTCATATTAAAAAATGGCATGTTAATGTCCTGATATGTCTTAAAGAGAAATGAGAATTTGGTGTATGCTGTGGGATACTACATTAGATTGTCTTATATTTTTGTTGTGGCTTACGTTCAAATTATGTCGAAACAGCAGTTCCCATATAATCACCAAAGTTCAGCATTGTTGAGCTTGGTCAGTACTTAGATGGGTGACTGCTTGGAAATACCAGACGCTGTATGCTTGGGCATGTGGGTGATGTAATGGATAACGGCTTGGAATTGTTAATTGGAGAGCTGAGTTTCAATTTTTGTTGGGTTTGTTATATTCATTTACATACAATATCTTTGGGAAAAGTATGAATCCATATTCTTTTCAGCCCCCACCTATGGGCTAATTAATAAGACTCATATCACTAAACTATTTGTTATCTCTAAAAAATTCTTACAATCTAAAAATATTTTCTGGCTTTAAATAACCTACAAAAGAGTTGATAAGTTGTAGAAAACAAATCAATCATTTATGTTGCTTTAAGAAGGTTTCTCAAATACCTGATACACCCTGTATAGCACAAGAACAGCAATTCTGCTGAGGGATTAATCAGCTTTATTATTGATTGATTGCATGTTTATCTGGCTGCAGATTTCTGAAACTTACATGACTAGATGACTAGGAGAAGAGAACTCCATCCCAAAAAAAACTACAACCTAGTGACCTTACTAACCTTGTCCCACTTTCTGGAATATGAAAATAACATTTTGATTTAATAAGTGGCTGCACCATATATTAAATCCCAATGTACAAACTTGAGGATCAAGCACATTCACAAAGAGAAGGGACACTGCAAAACCAGATTCTGCCTCTCTAACCTACAGTTGATTAACCTCTAGCAGCTGCCATGGAAGAACTTGTCTCTTCTCTATAAGGCCTGCTGGACAAAGATGAACTCTTATATAATGTCAAATCTTTATTCATTAAGTCAAGCTATGAATTAATAAAGACAGCAAACACAGTATATCTATTCTTTATAATTTGTGAGGGAACAAAGAATATATAAAGCTTTATGAAAGTTTAAAAAAAATGAATGTTTTTATTTACTATCAACTTGTTTAGAATTTAATTTTTATTATTTACTAGGCAAAGGAATAGATCAATGATTAAATATGAATTTTCCCTTTAATTTAAGTTTTGGCATTGGGCTTTGTATTATCTCCCAATTGAAGATAACACAGCTGAAACAATATTATGAAATGTTAGCAATAACCTTAATGAGGAACTCATAAAACTCATAAAATTAGATATGCTTAATTTGAAACATATTTGATTTGTGGTAGTAGAGCAAATCATCAAATGAACAGATTAAATCAAAATATAGCATTTCAATAATTTGCTTAAAATAGTTAAACCCAATATAAAAACAGTAATTTTTTTTTTAAATTACATTCCTTTCCTTTGTCTTTGCAGATTAGCAGTCATTTGTGGCTGAGCCAAAATGGCCAGCTTCAGTATTTCAAATCAAGTAAGTGATTTTCTTTTCACTTTTAAGGAAACCTGTGTTAGATTTAGATTAGTTAATGCACCATTATAACAGGATTTTACTAAAAATCAATATGCAAAGAAAGCCATTTCTCAAATTTACCTTTCTTTTTTTCCCTCAGATTTGTATGGGCAAAAAGTATTGAATCGTTTTGTTTAAATTTATGCTTATTATTTTACCCAATTATTTTTCATTTGATTATTATATTTATTGACTATTGTAAAGCTGACCTATGTCTACTTTTTTTTACTCTATTGTAAATTAATTCCATGATTATTTATTAATTCATTGATTTTATCTTATAAATTTATATTTGACATTGAATAACTTGAATTAATCAACCTTATTAAATTAGACCATTTATCATCTGCACAAGCTTTAGATTCTTGGCATGTATACTGGTTTGTCAGTATGTTTATTAATGATTAAAAAAAGCATTTATTTTATGCAACAAATTTTTAACATAATTTTCTTTATCATTGCTCCTCCATTAATCACATAACATGAACATTATACAATGAAAACTTTAGATAATAATGTTCTCAGATTTATTGATCTACTCTAAAAAGTTTCCAAAAGACCAAATAATTGAGATTTAAAAAGAAAAAAAAAAATTGAACCTCAATTTGCAAAATTTAGTCATACATCATTTTATCTACATTATTTACATTATTACAGACTATTGTCCTCATCTTTGTCACCATATTTATCACGTTTCGGCCGTTGTTCACTCTGGCCTTCTTCAGGTGGTTGGAATGTCGAACTGAACCCTTTATTTCGCTCACTGGGGTAGACTGTTCTAGTTTCACGTGCCATGTTTGATGGATGTCAGTTATCAGTGTGAGTTCAATACCCGGTTAAGGCAGTGGAGAACTTTCAGAGGGAAAATTAACAGGAGATAACTGATAACTGACATCCCTCAAACATGGCACGTGGAACTAGAACAGTCTACCCCAGCGAAATTAAATAAAGGGTTCAGTTCGACATTCCAACCACCTGAAGAAGGCCGGAGCGAACAACGGCCGAAACGTTGTAATAAATATGGCGACAAAGATGAGGACAATAGTCTGAATAATGTAAATAATGTACATAATACCTCATCTCAGAAATATAGACAGATACTGAAGAAGGCCAGAGCGTACAACGGCCGAAACGTTGTAATAAATATGGCGACAAAGATGAGGACAATAGTCCAAATAATGTAAATAATATCTCATCTCAGAAATATAGACATCATTTTATCTGTTTTTCTTTTTACCATTACCTTTGTCTTTTCTTCATTTACTCCTTTTTTATTTTAGATGTATAGTCTTTGATCTTGAGTCTTTACATTTGTCATTAGGTGTCTTTCATAATTCAGTATGTCTCTCTTTTTTTTTAGTCATCACTGCAGACTAACATTATTTATTAAAATCCTGTAGAAATATTTAAGCTTCTTTCCTATGTTTAATTATTTAAAAAAAAATTGCTTGAAATCTTTCGGCATCATTTTGTACTTTAAAAACCTTTTTATAGGGAAAAATACTTGTCTATTTTGTGACATTACATGCACAAATCTTCATATGCTTATCAGTGTGTCTGGTTTTCTACTCAAATAACTAACATACTGGCTTCATAATTTTTTTATGTCTGAATTTTTTTACATGAGGAATTATTGTTTTTTTTTTATACCTTTCAATTTAGACTAGTATCCTTATCTTAGTTGTTATACTTACCAGATGTACCTTCTGGCTTGCTTCAGGTGTCTGTTATCCTTGCTAACCTATTTGTAATCTTGAACCAGACCCTTTATTCAATCCATTGAGGTCAGGGACATCATGGATATGTCAGGGATTTCAGGTGATCAGGGATATAGTAGGAATTTTGTAAATTTTTCAAAACAAAACCGAGAATCTGGTATTACCCTTCTGAACTGTTTCATTGACTAATCTTTTATAGAATCTAATACTGATTCAATGGTTGTTTACTGATTAACACTCTATAAAATACCATGTTGAACTTCTAAACTGATTGGTGTCCCATGGAGTCTATAATATTCTTTAAAGAAAATATCTTTAAATTAAGTTTGCTCATTTTCTTTTGATGAGTTTTTCTCAGGGTAACCTTATATCAACCTTTGATAATGGACCATATTTTACCCTTATCATTTGGTGTGTTTCCCAATCAGGGTTATCTGGTGTTAGTCAGGGACTTTTATGTTGGAAAATGAGTGACCACCCTGAAAGTAGATAGTTTAGTTTCCATCAAATGGGGATAACTTGTATGAGTAAATTCTCTCTAGTTTATTTGCCTTTGTGCCACTTGTCCATTTTTCCAATTTATATGACTTTTCTGCACTGCCCAACTCAGGGAGTGAACTCTCAATTGCAAGGAAACCAAATATGTTATCATAAGAGCTTTAATCTATGTTTCTTAATCAATACAGTGGTGTAGTTTTGGGGTCTTTTTGAGTGTTCTTTTTTTCCCTGAATACAGGCTCTCAGATCTACTTTATGCTAAGTCTATTTAGGAAGTATCCAGTTTTTAATATGTATGCTGATTCTTTTAGTCATCTTATTCTCCAGTGTTGTTTTCTGTCTGTTATCTTGATTTAATTCCACAGGGGTTCATGACCACTCTTAATTTTTCTCTGTGTAGGATCAGTCAAGCATCATTTTGATGTTCCCACTATCAGACTACAGCATTCTCACATTCCTTCATCCTTACCTTTAAGGGGAAGCTTGCTTCACCTTTGTATTTCCTGTCATAACTCTCAAGGGGGTTGAATGCACACAGTTCTTGGTCATGTTCTCTTCAGGCTGAACTGTTTTTACAAAGCTAGTTTACAAAATATTTTGATTTTTGGATAACTTTGTATTCAATATTAAGGTTTATTTTTAAATAATATATTTTCATCATTAGTCTAGAAACAAATCTTTTTACCTTGATAAAAATTTTATAGAGTGAGAATAGCATCAAAGAAAATGCAACATATTAGTTTTTAATTATACATTTTTTGAGAGGATCAGAAGAAAAAAACCAAATCTGAAATTGAACTACTTTTTTAAAATATATTATAGAATATATGTTAATTTTTATAAAATGGTATAGAAATGAAAGAAATATTGGACAAAAATTAAAGATTGCTATGTCTAAGAAAGTCAAAGACTATGGCATAGACATATAGAAAATATTAATGGTAAAAGTTAAAACTCATAACTGGAAACTGTATCTGAGATATATATATACATATAAGTGAGATTTTTTTTGCCATGGCGTAATGGTTAACAAACTGGTTTTACAGACAAATACAGCAATGTTTAACAAATGTACCTGCAAAAAAAAAAAAAAAAAATGATGCATCAGAAAGGATAGTTTTTCTCTTGAAACCCTATTACTGTATACTCCATTGGCAATTTTTATCATTTTAAAAGGCTATTTTTAAGAATTTTAATGAAATCCAAATGTATGAAACTGGATTCATACATTTTCTTTTATTCTTGAGTATTGACAGCAAAAATATAAAACACTATTAGCTTGTTTATGTGCAAGAATACTTTTATATTTACAAGATTATAAAAATATGTAAACCAACTACAATGCAATATTTACTGTTTACCATATTATAAAGAAATAAATATAAAAAATTTCTTTTTATGAATAAATTTATAAAAATACTTGAGAATAAGAAAATTTAAATAAAAACATTTGCCCATTTTACTATGGATATATAATAATAACTAAATGACCCCTCCCCACTGAAACAATTAAAATAAGTAATCAAAGATATAAAATAATCTTAGATAAAATGTAACATATCTGGAATATGCATTTTTTCCAAAATTATAATTACAGTTACTCATAATCTGTTTACTTAAGTTTTCTTGTTCCATAGTTCACAAACATTTTTATAAATTTATGAATAAAAATATTTTGTTTTCATTGTTATTTCTTTACTGCATTTCAGTTGGTCCACATCTTGTAAATATAAAATTATTCTTGTAAATAAACAATCCAATAATTAATCAGTGTCGTATTTCTGTTGTCAATTCTTTAGAAAAAATAAAATATATAAATCAAGTTTAATTTTTGAGTTTTATTAAAAATTATAAAGAGAGCTTTATAAAACCAACATCCACCAAGCAAGTATACAGTAATGGCGAAGTCGAGAAAACCATTCTATTTGGCATACTGATTTCTTTTCTTTTTACAGGTATTTTTTTTTTGCAGATACAACTACTATTATGACAAATACTATAGTTGGGAGTTCAGTCTTCATTTTTGGCATTTTTTTCAAATGAAACTTTATTTCGTAAATACTTTTATTTACATATACATATACAGTATTTGTTATATGAGAGCTGGAAAAAATATTACTCCTTTTAAAATTCTGTTTTAATATTCTTTTTATACTGTGTCATAATGTTTTGGTATGGTTTTATTTTGTCTATATTTCTGAGATGAGGTATTGTAACTATTTACACTATTTTTATTGTTCAGACTGTTGTCCTCATCTTTATTGTCATATTCACAGTGTTTTGGCCGTTGTATGCTCCAGCCTTCTTCAGGTGATATATGTTGGAATTTTGAACTGAACCATTTATTTCGTCCATTGGGGGTAGATTGTTCTAGTTCCATGTCTTTTCTGGATGTCTCAGTTCAGTTATTTTCCTTTATTAACTTAACTCTCCATGTTTTTGTTCACCTCTGCTGTAGCCAGGGATTGAACTCACAAGGACACATGGCCCAGTGGATAACAGTGTTGGTTAAAGTAATCCAGTGACTTGACTCAGAGCTGTGAGTTCATAACATGTGGAACTTGAACAGTTTACTCTGGCGGACAAGATAAAAGGCTTGATTCAAAATTTCATTGTATATCATCTGAAGAAGGCTGAAGTGTACAATGTCCGAAATGCCGTGAATATGACTATAAAAATGAGGACAACAACCTGAACAATGTAAATAGTATAAATAGTTTTTTATTTTGTTGATTATAAACATTCATAAGGATTGGATTAAAAGGTCCACAGTGTATTAAATAGACAAAAATGATTGCTGACCATATTTTTGTGTGCAAAATCAAAAAGAAAACTATCTCTACTAATCATTAAATTGTCACTTCTTTGATATGATGAGCTGAAAATTATGATGTCATATGTGTAGAAAAAGATTAATTTTTTATTCCTACAAATTGATTTTGCTAAAGTAATTCATTTCTAATGCTTTCAATTCTGTTGAGTTCAAACAGCAAAATGTATAATCACTTTTTATTCTTCTGTTTTCCTTTATTGCTGTATATAGTCATCATATCAGAAACACGTTATAGAAAAGGCGTTTCAAAGTCTCCTAGAAGAGAGTATGCGGTTTGAGGTAAGCAACATTCAATTGTTTTAACCTTAATAGATTTCGAACAAATATGTAACAATCACTTATTGTGAAATAATAAATCCCAAATCATAAATATGATTTATAATATTAACAAATACTGTCATTAAAATATTTTTTTTAATTTCATGATTTATAATGAAAAATATTTTTTCCCAATATATAATAAATCTTGTAGGTTGACATTAGTTGTTACAGTGACAGATCCCTCAAATTAGCCCACTACAGTTCTTATATGGTGGACTCTCCCATCATATTTGATATATGAGGGTCAAGCAGTTCGGTTCCTAGGAACTGACAGTCCAGACACCAGCACATATGATTGATTTGATTATAGTGGTGAAGACTTTGTGCAGAACCAACCACACTTTTTGAAGGGCCAAATACAGAGACCTGGTGCACTACGTGCCACAAGGTCCCCAAATAACTCTCCGAGGGTTTTGAATTCAGAGTTGTCCTTCTCCTAGACCAGTTGCCATCCAAGGCTATAAAACCCAGTTTTTCCTGCTATTTACCCATAGCTGGAGGGAGAAGAAGAGGATTAATACCTTTCCCAAGGGTATTAGCATGTAAGTGAATGTAATGGATTTGACTGGAATTCGAACTCGGCTCCTTGATCCAACCAGTTATTCACTTATATATAGTTCTGGTCTGTGTGTGTGTGTGTGTGAGATATGGATTCATTTCTTCTAACAAACTATGGATAAATAACTGGACAAACTGGGTTCTATAGTCTTGGGTGGCAACTGATCTATGAATGTACAATTCTGAATTCAAAACCTGAGTGGTTGGTGACTAAACTCTCTCTCCTATCACTCCCTGGTCTGGTGAGAAGGGTAAGTGGAACCCCAGCAAAATGAAAAGGAAGAGATGTTAAAGGGCAGTCAATGGCTATTCACTCACTAACCCACAACGTAGTGAGTATGGCAGTACATCCCTGAAGATCTGGCGAATCAAGGAAGAGTTCCTCCAACAGGCACTGGATTTGGTTTCAAATTTGGATTTCTATATAACTTGGATCATGTTGATTCCATTTGTATATTCTTAAATATAATATTTTAAGAGAGGCTATGTTTTGAAGCATGATTTCCCCACTGTTTTTCACAATCCCCATTGGCAGAATTATTCCTAATCATCTAATCTAAAATATATATTTCCATGACGAACAGAAAATAGTTCTCTTCACTCTCTGTGTAGGATGTTATAGTTGTTAAGTGTACATGTTTCAATGTCCAGGTACTCAATATCTGATGTGATTATAATAAAAAATAAAAATGATTGCAATTTGAAATAGTTTTAAAATTTTATTTTAAGAAGTGAGGCTTAGTACTTTCTCCTTTTCTAAAAATTTGTTTTTAACTTCTCTATATTTAATTTTCCACCATTTGTAACCTGTATATTTTTATATTCCTCTTCCAGTGTCCTTCGATAATAAAAAAATTTTCTAACACTTCTGATCTGAACCTTTCTACTGTACGAGCTGATTTATTCACCTCAATGAAAATGAATCAAAACACAAAAAAATGGCGAAAAGAGTTAAAAAAACAATCTAAAATTGCACAAAAGCTGAATCACAGTAAGCAGGTGAGTGGTTACCAGTTGAACCCACCTGGCTTTCATGCTCATCAGGAAAGCCGGATGTCCACTTCTGATAGCAGGCATCTGAAGAAGACACAGAGTTCTTCACAGGGATATGTTTGGAAACCTAGCTTTGTGTCTGGCACTAAAAGTAAGAAGCATTCTGACAATGAATTTGTGATACCTGACATTTCAAATAACCCACCACCTCCTGTCGTATCAAAGAAAAAAGAAACAAACAAGGTGAGAACTGTAAGTGGTGTTGCCAATGAGACGGATTCATTAAATGTATGGTCTTATAAAACAAAAGTGAAGCCATTGAGTCAACACATGAGCCAGGTCGACCTAAATCATCAACCAAAAGTTGTGCTGGAGAAATTTCCTACTGAATGGATTAAAGATGGATGCAAAATAAAACCAGTTGGAAGCAAAAAAGATAAACAGAAAGACAATTCTAATCATGCGAAGAACTACACATTTGACCAGTGGATATTTAGGGTTGATGAAAATAATGACATTTTTGTCAAAGGTCACCTCAGGTCAGTGATTTTTGTTCACTACTTCTCTCTGTCTGTGATTCTTGTTCACTACTTCTCGCTGTCTGTGATTCTTGTTTAGGTGACATCTTTTTATTTTACTGTGTCACAATGGAAGGGAGTGAATTTGTGAATTGATATTTAGCAAATTATTTTTCTCTGCAATTCACTTTGTCTTCACTTTTATTTCTCTCTTTCTATTTCTCTACATCCTGATCTGTTTTTACATCTCTCATTCTCACCCCATCTTTGTTTTTCTCACTTTCTCTTCCTTTACTTCCTAGTCTATCTCTTTCTCTCCATTTGTTTATTTGCATTTTCTTTTTGCATGCATGTGTGTTCATCATCTGCTCATCTTTTCATTTAATGGTGGTGTTTTTCTATTCTTTACTGTTTTATATTTGAATATGAAGTCTGCAAATTTCTTACCTAATTCCAGATTTATTGAAATAACATCCTTAAAAATTCAATTCATTCAATGCAGATATTCTCACTTGGTCTGTATACAATTATTTCTCTTTAACAGAAATTCCCTTTTCTACTTAGTTAATCATTCAAAGAACTGATAAATTCATTGAAGGCTTTTTTTTTTTCATTTTGAATCTGATTCGGGAAATCATATATGGAAAGTACCTTAATACCTGAGAAAATAATTATAATTTTTAGAAGAATCATTATTGTTCTCTAAGCTCATTGATTTTGTTGCTTTTGATGTTTTGGACAATCCATTCCCATGCCTCTCTTTCCTTACAAGTTGTGTATCACAAAAAGTCTGTAGAATGGATTATCTGAAACATGCTAATAACAAAAGCAGCATAAAGAATTTGTTTAGTCATCCAAACAACTCATGTAATTGTAGGAGAGTGGTTGAGTGAATAGTCAAACTAGAATAAAGTTTCTATCTTTTAATATTATTTTTACGATATAAGGTTAAGCATTACTATGTGGTCTTTCAATTTATGGATGCTATTGGTGTTTTGAATTCACTGCTTCAAACTGATCAATATATCTACAATGACAAGCTAAAATATTATGTGGCAAGTATAACAGCTACTGTCTCATAACAACTGTACATCTTTTGGTCAGAAATATAATATATAAGGAGATATGTTGGTATTGAGTATTTTATTTTGATGTGTTGATTGCTGCAGTTAGTAGCATGAAGAAAGATTTAAATGACTTTGATAAAGGCTAAATTGTTATTGGTTGGAGATTAACTTTTCAAAATTGTATGGCTTCTTGGGTGCTCATATTGTGATGAGTCCCTGTGAGTAATAGTCTGAAAAGTGAAAAATCAACTGCTAGTAAGTTCTTAAGTGGCCAAGACTTACTGATGAAAGAAATGAATAAAGGTTTTCTTGCCAAGTATGAGCCAACAGAAGGGCTATTGTAGTACACATTGCAGATAGCTTTAATCAAGGTAAAAGAGGAAAAGTGTCACAACATGCAGTGCATTAACCCTTGTTGTGAATGGGGCTGCATAGATGCAGACCAGTTAAATTAATCATGCTAAGCAATGTTCACCATCAAAAAAGTTTTTCTTCAATGAGCATATACTCTTTTGTATCAAATACAAGTAGGCCACGCCATGTTGAAACAGCAGTTCTCATATGATCACTAAAGTTAAGTAATATTTAGTCTGGTCAGTACCTAGGTGAGTGACCACTTGGGAATACTAGGTACTGTAAGCCTGGATGTGCAGGTGGTGTAATGGATAATGGCTTGGAATCATTAATTTGAGAGCCGAGTTCTAATTCTAGTTGGGTTCATTATATTCACTTACACACGAATGCTCTTGGGAAAGGTATGAATCCACCTTCTGTCCACCCCCAGCTATGGGTTAATTAGTAAGACGTGTATTACTAAACTATTATTATCTCTACCCCCACCAAATTCTTACAATCTAAAAATATTTTCTGGCTTTAAATAACCTGCAAAGGGTTGATAAGCTGTAAAGAATGAATGAATCACTCAAAATCAAATACAAGTGCCATTGGAAATATTTATCCCAGTGGGAATTTTTGAACTGGCAAAATAAGCATGCTAATTCAAATATTCTCCTGCACTTCCTCACCTAATGGTGATTTGCCGACTGAATTTCTTTATCAGCATCTAATATGGCTAATATTTCTGGAACACTCCACATCTAGCCATCACTTGAAACTGGCATTGCATCAAAGTTGCATCTGAAGACAAATATTGATTCTACTCGTGCAATATCATCTTACAAAGACTATCAGAAATAATAATCTCTGCTTTTTTTTGGTGGTCTTACAGCCATATCATGTTGAAACTTCAATTCCTGTATGATCACCGAAGTTAAGTAATGTCGAGCCTGGTCAGTATGTAGATGTGCGACAGCTTGGGAATACCAGGTGCTGTGTGGATGGTATAATGGTTAATAGCTCAGAATTGTTAATTGGAGAGCTGAGTTCTAATTCTTGTTGTGTTCATTATATTCACTTGTGTGAAAATACCCTTAGAATGCTATGAATCTTCCTTTTCTCTCCCCAGTTATAGGTTAATTAGTAAGACTTGTATCACTAAAATATTCTCCTAAAAAAAATATAAATTCTTACAATCTTAAAAATATTTTCTGGCTTTAAATAACCTGCAAAGGGTTGATAAACCTTAGAAAACAAAAATTAAAAAAAATCTTTGTTGGAACTAAAAACTTTATCACAGTACTGAATGGAGATGCAGTATCAAGAACTTGGCCAATGTAAAATAATATACTGCAACCCACTGGTCTTGACCACCTTAGGTGATACTTCTTTATCACTACTGCTAGAGTTGTTTAAATAGTCAGAATCACTGGGTGCCTTTTCTTCTTTCCTTTGTCTTAGAGGTGGAGATGAATCAACTGATTTTCCTGTCCTCAAGTAGTTGCTGACATTTATTTCCACTGGTGTTAATCTTTAACACCTAAGAGAATATTCAGATATCTTTCAGTGCTCCCAAGTGACTGCTTGACACTAGTTGTAAATATTTAATAGACTTCACAGGGCGACAGTGCTTGATGATCAAGTTAATGATTCTGTTTTTCAGCAGCAGCTTGACACTCTTTCTCCTTCTTTTGCTTCTCATTTTTAGAAGTCTTTTCCTGTACATGAAATTTGAGAACTTCTTGTTGCTTGTGTCTTTGACACAGATGTTTTGCATTCATTCTTGAAATGCCAAAAACTGACTGCCATTCAGTTGCTGCTGATTTTGCTTCCAGTCAATCTTTGTGCTTGAGTATGTTTGAGGTTGATTGATGATGAAGTGATGCATGTTGCCCCCCACCCTATTTTTTCCTCATGTTCCATTCCAACTTTCAAATATTATTAACATTTAAATTTTGTGGGTGTTTGAGAAAGTTTGTTACATTTATAAAAGAAAAACCCCTGAAGATATTATTTGAGTAAAGAAAATATGTTCAATTTCAGCTGTGAACATCATCATGAACCTTACCAAAAAAATAATTTGGTTGAGAATTGGTACTTGCATAATTTAAAATATTTTCTTTCACATTTTGACATGAAAAAAACCTACATTAAGTATATAAATATACTAGTAATTTTTTTACTTACAATCATGGCGTACTATACTCCAGGACTGCTCATAGTGCAATTGAGAGCCAGAACTGAAGCCCTATTGAAAAAATGTTTGAGTTTCAGAAATTTTGAAAGAAAATTAAGTTGACTATTTTTTAAAGTACTTAGAATAATATTTTGACCAATACCTGAGGATAATAGGATGCGTTGAAAGTTAAATAAATGAAAATACGTATTTTTATTGTGGACACTGATAAGTATTAAACAAAACAAAGAGGTAAATGTATGGAAAAGGATGAAACAAAAAAATAACCACTGGCAAGTGTTGTTAGAAGGAATCTGTAATTTTCCATGGTTAATTGAATTGGTATATTTTCCATACTTTTTATAATAAAAATGGGTTTCATATTCACTAGCTTATCATTTCTTGTAATATATCCAGCTATGTACACGAGAAACATTTTTAGTTAATCAGAAAGAGATGGTTCTTAATTTTTTTCCATATTGCCAAATATTTCTGAACTGTCTTCAAAAGTTTATAATCACAAGATTAACATCAAAAGCATCAATATTCTGATTTAAAAGTAAAGATGTCTGCTTAATATGCAGCTTTTCAATCCACTGTTGAACATTTATAAAATAGGTACCACCTGATTCTTGACAAGGTTAATTCTTTTTCTAATGGATCAGTTGTAAATTGTCCAAATAGGACATATTTCTGGCTTGTAGCTAAGAGGTGTCAACATAGACTAATAATTCGATTGCGTGTATGGTGTATGGTAGTAGCAGTGTGTTTGGATAATTGTTCTATATGATTACCTTGACTGCCAACCATATTAAGAGCCATTTGATCAAACTCAATGATAAAATCAAGTCAGCTGTCATTCGGAGATCTGATTCCACTTTGTAGAGGGTCATTGCATAGTTTATCAATTTGAAGGGTCCTAACATTTAAAATTTTCCACCTTGTTTATGAAGATGGCAGTATCATTCTTATCTGCACTTATTCCAGACTGAGTGAGAAGTGCATTATAAGTCTTTTTCTGAAAACACTCTGAGGCAAGTAGAAATCTGTTGTCTGTTTATGGGCTGGTGAGCAATGAAAATTTCATTTAAATTTGAAAATTTAACTAGTCTTTCAGATTCAAAATGATATAACTGTTTAAGATGTGCCAATTTTTGCTACTTGTTTTACTTCATTATCATCAAAGATTAATTTTCCTGTTTTTCTGAGAGCCACAAATTGCAAGTATTTTTCAACAGGGGAACATAATCAAAAAGCAAATGTTTATCTTCAGTTAACTATGGTTTTTCAAGGAGTGTGGGATATAATTTAAAAAAAAAAGCTTGATTTACTCAGTTGCAATCACATATTTACATCAGCTGGTATGGAGGTGATGGCTTGAACTGTTAACTCAATTTGTTCAAATAAAAGGGCTGATGTTAATCTTGAAATTGGAATCAATCTTGTAAGAAATTTTGGACTCTCATTAAGACATATCAACATTATACCAAGTACTGTTTGAGCAAGTAGAGATGGATTGTCAACTGACTTACCAAATAGTTGTTTGCCATGATATAGTAACATTTTCTTGATATATACTTCATCATGGAGAATTATGCAGCCTTTTTCTTTGGCATTAAGAGTATTAAATAAAGATAACAAAAAAGATTTTTCATTAAATTTTGAAACTTTTGCTAATGATGGTAATTGAAAATCCTGTTTTACTATATTATACAACTAGCAGCATGGCCCGGCGTTGCCCGTGCTTGATTCAAAAATCGTATGACTCATACAGCAATCGCTATCACTTGACTGAAAATATTTTTGCCCTTCCTTGCCTTTAAAGGAGTGCCCTTTGCTGTGCTGATGTTGCTACATGCCTTACTTCTTGCCTATCTCACACTGCAAATTTTTTCTAAGATCTATACTAAACATTAAATCTGTTAAAAAAAAGAACTAAACAAAATGAACACAAAACGATCAGCTTTAAAAAAGGACTCGTAACTGGAAAAACCAAATGAAAAAAGAATGTTAACAACAAATACTTTTTCACACCCAACCCAGTTCTGCGGAATCAGAATCAACATTGAGTTTAAGCAAGCGAATGAGCCAATTGGAGTAAAGTCCCATGCAGATTTAAATTTTTCCTAGTTGTGACGAATGCAGCTATTGATTTCTTTTGCATGCTAGCATGCTAGTTAACATTTGTGTCAGTCAACTGTTGGCTCTCATGCTGGCCAATAGAATCTTCCTGCCTATTCGTGGCAGCCAGCTATAGGCTCTCACTCTGGCCAGTAGAAAATGGCCGCAAACTACATGAAAACTGCTGTAGAAGCATAAAGAAATCAATTATTTCCACTATCAATGGGAGTTGGGAAATGCAAAGTCAGTCTTGGTCTTCCTGCTAACTTGGAGCATGTGCATGTAAATTTTGGTGCAAATCTATCAAAAATTGCAGCTGTGCATTTGTTACACACACACACACACACACACACCTTTTATAGATAGAGATAACTGTCATGTTGTATAGTACTCAAAACACATATTACTATATCTAGCTGTATTTCATTCCAACCATTTTTGGGGTCATTGCTGAAAAGTGCTGACTCAAGATATCCTTCTTGTGATCAAAAGCCATAGATTTTAAATATTGGCTAATTTCTTCCAATGTTGACCAAGTATCAACTGTATTTATATTTTTTTTTTTTGTGCAGGCTACTAATATAAAACTTAACTCCATAATGAAAGGTTTCAAATGGTAATGTTTTATAAATTCACAGCATAAATAGAAGGATAACTTTTGATGACTCAACAGTTAAAATATTTTCAGCCAAAATTTCTACAACTGGATACACAAAGTTTCTTTTGTTGTTGATTAGACTTTTTTTTCAAATTTTGTATAATTAATCTTATCTAATTCTAAAAAGAGCATTCATTTCATCAATTTGATTTTGAGCAGTATTAGAGTTTTTTTTTTTTTTTTTTTTTTTTTTATATTCCTTTCAACAGCAGAGTGTGTTGGTATTTGACTCTTTATTTGGCATACCTTGGCCATACAGATGGTGGATTTTCTAGGAAGTTCTATGGTATCAAAATTTGAAGGCCAGTGTAGTTGACAAATAACTGCATTGTTTGTAACATTTAAATTGGCATTTGGAACTGATTTGCTCCATCACTCTCTCTCATCTATGTCTTTTGGAAAACGATAAACTGATATTTTATTCATCTCATACACAGTTTTGTCTTGTTGGTTTCTGTAATTTGTTTTGCAAGCAATGACACAACAGTTCTGGAGTATTGCTGGAAACTAGGTAATATCTGAAATGATTAAGCTTAAGTACAATTATTTCTTTTACTGTTTCAATTTAGTAAAGCCAATTTCAAGCCAAATGATACTCTTAATTCCAACTTTGAGAGAGCAACTGTAAACAAGATGCCAGATCAGGACCAATCACATTGCATATCCATCTCTGGATTTTGTTGAGGACCTTAAGACGAACAGAGAGGGCTCCAGACCATATATGGCAGCAATATTCCATGCAAGGGTGAATGGTTGATTTATAGATTTGAAGGATAGACTCTGGCAAGAAGAACCTTCTGGCACGACACAGAGAACCAACTTTCCTTGCAGTAGATGAAGCTATTGATTCAATGTATTTGTTCCATCTCAGGTCAGCAGACAGTGTGAGACCAAGCAGTTGCAGAGAGGTGCTCTCATGGAGTTGAGCATCAGGCATTCTAATGGGAGGCAGGGAGGGTTCTATTTGGTGGGTAAAAGAGAGCAGTTTTGTTTTTGCATCATTAAAGTTTACCAGCCATTTCTTGCTCTAGTCAACCACAGATTGGAGGTCCTTTTTGAGAAAAATGGCCAAGTTAGTTTTGTCAGTGATATCGGATTTGCTATTGAGGCAGGAGTAAATAGTGGTGTCGTCTTCATAGATACCTCCTTGGGAACTGATGACATCAGGAAGATCATTAATGAAGACCAGAAACAGTGTAGGGCCCAGGATAGAGCCTTGGGGAACATCTGCATTTGTGAAAAAGGAACTTGGGGAGAATCCATTAAGGATAAGCTCAATTAGATGGTTTGAGAAAGGAACTGGAGGAGAATCCATTTAGGATGACTTTCATTACACTGTTTGACAGGCATGATTGTATTGTCAAATAATTGTCCTGAAATTCCGTATCCCTGAAGCTTACAAAGAAGGCCAGCATGCCAAACCCTATCAAATGCTTTAGACATATCTAGAGCCACAGCATGAACTTCTCTGTAAAGTGCTTGGTAAACCAATTCAGTCATGGCCGTGAGAACATCAGCAGTAGATCAGGCAAAGCGGAAACTATATTGCTTTTCAGAGAATAGATCATGGAATGTAAGGTGCTTAACCACTTTGGCATTGATTAAAGCTTCAAAGACTAGGCCGAAGAGTGGTAGGAGACTGATAGGATGGTAGTTAGATGGGTCAGAAGGGTAAACAAGGTAAATGATATTCGAAATGTAAGGAAAAATTTCTTTGAATTACTTTGTTGCGGAAACAAGGAATGGGTAACCTGGAAGGCAGAACTTGTCGCTGTTGTTATTACTGCTGAAGAGGTTAATTTCTTCTTTGCCTCAGCAAACGTAAATTTGAAGAAAAGGAATACATTGTATTTTGGGTAAATAAATGTATAATTTATTTACATATATACAAAGCCATCATACTACCCATTGCTGTAGTAAAAGGCAACAGAGTGGGCGAGGAAAAGAGAAAGAATGTCGATGGCTGTTGGCTGATGTTTTGTGAAGACAGCAGCGTTGAAGGTTGAAAGTGATAGTTTCGCATTCAGTGTGCCTGCTGTGTTCTTGACCAGCCTCTGCATGTCGACATCTCAGCCAGGTCTCTTTCTCTGTCTCTGCTCTTTGTAGCATTGAATCAGGAAATTTATATCCGTCGCATCGGTTATTTCTACTGGTCAATATATAAAATTCATTTTACTTCATTCAATACTGAAAACATGCATTGAGCTATGATACGCAGAGATGCATTTTCACATTCTGCCTTGAGTTGTCGAGCAGTCAACATCGGGTATAGTGTAAGAGACATGACAACTTAAGCCAACAACACTAGCAGAATAGCTAACTCAAACTGAAACTAAAATGCCCCACTGCATTAAAACCAGCTTCCAGTTGTGTCCCATCATTACATTATGACATCGCTGTCTAATATAGTATGCTATGCTTGCAATTTTAAAATTCCGCCAATTACTGCTTGTAATAAGGAATTTTTCTATTAAATAAAGATATGTTTTACGAACTGAAAAATGTAATGTTTAATACTGTTTTCATTAACATTAGAAGGCTAAGTACAGAAAATCAGTGTCCATCATTGAAATAGTGATATAGTTTAAACAAATGTAACATAAAAACTAATCATCACACATAAGAAAGAACTGTAGCTTTAAAAAAAAAAAAAGATTAAATTTTGTTTACATACTAATTTTATCAAAATAACCTTGAAAATAAATGTGATATCAGCTGTTGAAATGGAAAGAAATTTCAATATTTTGACAAACTGTAAACTAGGGCACTATGGGATACCTACTTTATGATCCTAAATAAAAACATTAATCTCTCTAAACCAATGTTCTTCCATTTTGACAAAACACCAACCAACAAAATCTCTGCATCTAAAGTATAAACTTTACATTATCTCTTAAAGATGTTCATTTCTGTTTTTTTTTTCTCCCCAGTGGTTCCCCAGCCAATGTGTTTTGGAGCACAAGTGAAATTATTAAAAGAATAGACAACAAAACCCTGTTGACTGCATCAGGCAAACTTTGTATTCTTGAAGGTTCAATAATGGAAAAAGCTTTGATCTCTAAAGGTTAGTGTTTTATGATACAGATGTATTGAATGGTGGTTGATATTTATGTATTTACTGGAGGGTTTGATGATATATATATATATATATATTTTAATGGATGGTTTGATGATATATATATATATATGTATTTAATGGATGGTTTGATGATATATATATATTTATATATATATATATATATATAATGGAGGGTTTGATGATATATATATATTTAATGGAGGGTTTGATGATATATATATATATATATATATATATATATATATATATATATATTTAATGGAGGGTTTGATGATATATATATATATGTATTTAATGGAGGTTGATGATATATATATATGTATTTAATGGAGGTTTTGATGATATATATATATATGTATTTAATGGAGGGTTTGATTTTATATATATATATATATATATATATATATATATATATTTTTTTTTTTTTTTTTTTTTTTTTTCCTTCCTATCCGAATTGTCTGTGGTGTGTATATGTCACCACGAAATGTATCTTTATGTATTAGACATCCGTCGACTTTCTTTCTCTCCTCTTTTTAAATCCACCCCACCCACATCTCCAAAAATTCTCTCTGTCACTCCTCCTCATACTTACACTTTCTCTAAATTCTGTTTTGATTTCGGAGTTGTGTTTTTCTGTTTTCATTTTTGAATTTGTAGGTCTGATGATTTGGATCGTATTTCTGATTCCAATGGAATAAATTATGACCATGGAATATTAGTGTTTAAGCCTTTTTTATTATATATATATATATATATATATATATATATATTTAATGGAGGGTTTGATTATATATATATATATATGTATTTAATGGAGGGTTTGATTATATATGTATTTAATGGAGGGTTTTATGATATATATATATATGTATTTAATTATGGTTTTATGATATATATATATATATATATGTATTTAATATGGTTTTATGATATATATATATATATATATATATATATATATATATATGTATTTAATATGGGTTTTATGATATATATATATATATATATATTTTAATAGCAGGGTTTTATGATATATATATATTTAATGTATGGTTTTATGATATATATATATATATATATATTAATTAGGTTTGATGATACAGAATTATTGCATGGGTATGATAAAGATGCATTAAAGGGTGGTGTTGATCTCAATATAAATGCGAACAAACTGTTTTTTTTTTTTTTTTGGAGGGTGGGTGTTTCTTAGTTAAGTTGAGAAATTTTCAACATTCCATTAAAAGTGTACTTTCAATCTCATCTGAGACCATCTCAGGGTGTTGAACATGGGGAAATAAAGACTATTTGAAAGAAAATTTTAGTATTTTTCTTAATCAATTTTCTAACGCCACCTAGAAAGTAACCCATAAACTTGAAAGGATCGCAACCAAAAAAAATTGATATATGTTTAAATTATGTAACCAAACCTGTTTTTTTATTTATATATATAGAGGATTAGCTCTAAATTTTGATAATTTTTGTTACAGGTTATCCAGCTAACTTGATAAAAAAATTTAGTCATGGCTTTCCTTTACAATGGAAATCTATTCTGACATCAAAACAGATACCAAAGTAAGTTCCTTTCAACTTTTCTATTAATAACCTGTGTACATTATACATACCTACAAAGTAGTTTCATTTAGTTAATTCTTTACTTTCAGGCTACATTAATAGCATTATAGAGTTAGCTGAGGGATACTGCAAAAATAATGTCTCCTATTTATTTTCATGGAATCTCATGATGGGACAATTAATCAACTATTGAAAATATCAGAATCGAAGAATTTTTAACCTAATTTCCAATTCCTAAAATGATTCTTTGGATTTTTTGTTTGTTTGTTTAAAACTTAATTTTACATTCCTGGTACTAATGATAAAATGATATAAACATTTATTGACTTTAAATTATCAGTAAAACTAAAATTTATAGATTATAATTATGATGTAAATTTATTTTAATTGTGTAAAAAACAAAAAAAAAAACAAAAAAGATGTTTCTACTCAGTTATCAAAATTTGCATAAAGTTTGCTAATTTCAGTTCAAGATAAAAAATTTATTTTTAATTTCTTTTTAGACATTGTTAATTCACTGATTTAATATTATAAATTATTAATTTAATAATTATAAAGACAATGAATTCACATTGTTCTTCCAGGCTCCCTTTTAAGACAATTTCTTTTTTGTTTTTTGTTTTATTTATGAAAAAGTAAATAAAAATTGATTTATGGAATTCCTGCTAATGCCACATTTAATTTCTTCACATAAAAAATTGACCTTGTGTCACAAATTCTCTTCGTAGCGATGCAATTAAATTAAAACAATTTTTTTTCATAATAGTTTTAATCCATAAAATCATTTTTTAGTCATTTTATTTATTTTTGTTTATGTAGCATACTACATAAACAAAAATAATTATTCTTTTTAATAACTGTGACTTAAAAAAGTAAACATCCTTTTTATGAAACTTAAGTTTGTTTCTATGAAATTCATATATTTCTTAAAATTTTATAGCTTTCAAAACGGATTTTCATCTGTATTTACTTAAGAAATTGCACTCTTTTCCTTTTAACAAAAATGAAACACTTTTTGATTCTTTTTAGAAATTATTAAATTTTTTCACTCTAAGGAATGTATTTTAGACAGTAAACATATTAGTGATTAAATTTTTAGATAAACTTGAAGACCCTTTATTATTTATTTATTAAGTTACTGTGATAATTCATATCTAATTTTTATTAAACATCTGTAAGCAAATTTAAAATTTGCATTTATTTTTTATTCACTGTCCTGCAGGATTAGGTACTCATTGCACTTTATCAAAATATATGCATGGCTTAAGCCACAATACATAGGATGATGCCTTTCTACTTAGTGTATTATTGAAGCAAATATATATATATATATATATATATATAAATGGGTGTCATTTATTTTGAAGTGCATGCTGAAATTGAATTGTCAACTCTAAATTTGTTCCATTCATTGAAAAATTTCACATAATTTTAAGGAGATTGCATAATGTTTAGAGGGTGCCTTTGCTTGTTAAAACTTAAAAGGTTGACAAAAATAGACCGTTTTTCATTTTATAATAGCAAACCATTATTAGTTGTTGAATCTTTACAAATTATACACATTAGAAAAATAGAAACATTTTTTATCTAACAGTAAAAAATTTAAATTTTAATTGATATTTATTATTTTCAAACCCCAATTATGACAAGTGTATCCAATGTCAAGCAGAAAAGTAGTTTGGAAGTTTTTAAGAATTCTAATGATAACCAAAGTAAAGCAATTTGTCAACTGTATGTAACTTAAATGATTTATGTAAAGAAATTATTCTCTTTATTGTTTAAACTCTTACCCTTTTTTTTTTTTTTTTTAAATATAAAAAGGATATTTAACTTGATTTCATAAGCTTTTGTATTTATTTTTCTATTAAATGTTTTATTAATAAACATACTTCGTTCATTGAGTTTCCCAAACCAACTGTAGGGCCTGAAAATAATGAATTTGAATCATTGTAGGTATCGGAATTTGGAATCGTATCAGAATCAGAAATTTAGAACAGTATAAGGAATTGTATCAGAATCAGTAAAAATATTAGTATCGTCCCATCAATAATGTAAACTAAAACTGATACAGGGAGTTTAATAACCCTACTGGAAAAAGCATTTTCCACATATAGCTGGGTTTCAAATAGATGGTTGGAATAAAATGTGGTGACTGGAATTTTTAATATTTTTTTTTGCTTATAAAGGACTTTGTTCTTGGATGCTCACAGCCTAAATTAATGGATGGGAGGAAATGTTCTGAATATTTAATAAAAGGTGTATTTGGAATAAGAGTGTCTTGGTTGGATTTTTCCCTCCAAAAGGAATAATTGTCCCAGTGTGTCTATTTTGAAGTCAAAAGTTGATACCATCATTCAACAGGAGCCTGCATGCTCTGCTTATAAAAACCTGCATTAGTTGAAATTATTTTCCATTTTTGCTGAAATGCATTCCTTGTTTGGTTTTCATAAATGTTCAGCAATTGTTGCATTTTTTTTTTTTTTTTTTTTTTTTACATGGAGAAATTCAATAATACATCTCTACTTCATAGACATTTTCATATCAATCATCAGTTTGCTAGACTGGTTTTTAACTGTTATTTATAAGATGGTAAACAAAAAAAAAATATGGGTTATTGGTAGGAGAGTTCAACCTCTTGCCATTTTTTATTTTTATTTTTTTATTTTTGCTATTCATCTACTACAAGGCCCAAGAGTTACTTATTGAATGAGGTTGGTGTATGTAGATAATAGTTGATCCCAAAATTGAAGAGGTTAAGATTGTAGCGATTGGGGTATTTTTAGTAAATTCTCTCTGGAATACTTCTTTTGTTACAATGGAATACTAACATCAGTTTTGGACAAAATAGTAAAATAGAAGGCTATTCAAATGGAACTTCTTTTTCATTTCTTTTGTTATGGAATACCACTAACATCAGCCTCTGATATTGTGGACCAAAATAGTAAAATAGAAGGCAATATTCTGAGATACTTTTATTGTTAGTGGCTTTATTTTCATCTGTTGCCCACTTCTTTGTTACCAATGGAATACCACTAACATCAGCCTCTGATATTGTGGACCAAAATAGTAAAATAGAAGGCAATATTCTGAGATACTTTTATTGTTAGTGGCTTTATTTTCATCTGTTGCCCCTTCTTTGTTACCAATGGAATACCACTAACATCAGCCTCTGATATTGTGGACCAAAATAGTAAAATAGAAGGCAATATTCTGAGATACTTTTATTGTTAGTGGCTTTATTTTCATCTGTTGCCCACTTCTTTTGTTACCAATGGAATACCACTAACATCAGCCTCTGATATTGTGGACCAAAATAGTAAAATAGAAGGCAATATTCTGAGATACTTTTTATTGTTAGTGGCTTTATTTTCATCTGTTGCCCACTTCTTTTGTTACCAATGGAATACCACTAACATCAGCCTCTGATATTGTGGACCAAAATAGTAAAATAGAAGGCAATATTCTGAGATACTTTTTATTGTTAGTGGCATTTTCATCTGTTGCCCTTCTTTGTTCCAATGGAATACTTTTATTGGACCAAAATAGTAAAATAGAAGGCAATATTCTGAGATACTTTTATTTTAGTGGCTTTATTTTCATCTTGCCCACTTCTTTGTTACCAATGGAATACCACTAACATCAGCCTCTGATATTGTGGACCAAAATAGTAAAATAGAAGGCAATATTCTGAGATACTTTTATTGTTAGTGGCTTTATTTTCATCTGTTGCCCACTTCTTTGTTACCAATGGAATACCACTAACATCAGCCTCTGATATTGTGGACCAAAATAGTAAAATAGAAGGCAATATTCTGAGATACTTTTATTGTTAGTGGCTTTATTTTCATCTGTTGCCCACTTCTTTGTTACCAATGGAATACCACTAACATCAGCCTCTGATATTGTGGACCAAAATAGTAGTAAAATAGAAGGCAATATTCTGAGATACTTTTTGATTGTTAAAATAGTGGCTTTATTTTCATCTGTTGCCCACTTCTTTGTTACCAATGGAATACCACTAACATCAGCCTCTGATATTGTGGACCAAAATAGTAAAATAGAAGGCAATATTCTGAGATACTTTTATTGTTAGTGGCTTTTTTTCATTTTCATCTGTTACCAATGGAATACCACTTCAGCCTTTGTTACCAAAATATTAAAATACCACTTTTTAACATCAGCCTCTGATATTGTGGACCAAAATAGTAAAATAGAAGGCAATATTCTGAGATACTTTTATTGTTAGTGGCTTTATTTTCATCTGTTGCCCACTTCTTTGTTACCAATGGAATACCACTAACATCAGCCTCTGATATTGTGGACCAAAATAGTAAAATAGAAGGCAATATTCTGAGATACTTTTATTGTTAGTGGCTTTATTTTCATCTGTTGCCCTTCTTTGTTACCAATGGAATACCACTAACATCAGCCTCTGATATTGTGGACCAAAATAGTAAAATAGAAGGCAATATTCTGAGATACTTTTTATTGTTAGTGGCTTTATTTTCATCTATTTGCCCTGTTGCCCCACTTCTTTGTTACCAATGGAATACCACTAACATCAGCCTCTGATATTGTGGACCAAAATAGTAAAATAGAAGGCAATATTCTGAGATACTTTTATTGTTAGTGGCTTTATTTTCATCTGTTGCCCACTTCTTTTGTTACCAATGGAATACCACTAACATCAGCCTCTGATATTGTGGACCAAAATAGTAAAATAGAAGGCAATATTCTGAGATACTTTTATTGTTAGTGGCTTTATTTTCATCTGTTGCCCACTTCTTTGTTACCAATGGAATACCACTAACATCAGCCTCTGATATTGTGGACCAAAATAGTAAAATAGAAGGCAATATTCTGAGATACTTTTATTGTTAGTGGCTTTATTTTCATCTGTTGCCCACTTCTTTGTTACCAATGGAATACCACTAACATCAGCCTCTGATATTGTGGACCAAAATAGTAAAATAGAAGGCAATATTCTGAGATACTTTTTT